ATTAATTTTTAGGAGGATCTTGTCATAAATAAAAAACTACCTTCTTGCAACTTCCTCTCGCTGTGTTCCTATACCCCCCAACATCCACCTGTCATCCTAAACAAGACAGCAGTTACATCCCTGTGTGGTAAGTGCCATTTTCCTCCCTGGAGTCTGAGTTATTTGAGGACAGTGGTTAGTCTTTCATCTCAAAGTAAGGATAATAATAGCCAACATTTATTGAGCACCTATGTGCCAGACACTATTCTAAGCACTTTACAAGCATTAACTCATTTACCCCTTATGAGAGCCCTATGAGAGAGGTCCTATTACAACCTATTTCATAGACAAGAGGACAATGGACAAGAGACGCTAAATAGGTTGTTCAAGGTCACACACCTAGTAAGCAGCAGAGCCAGAATTGGACACAGACACTCTGGCTCAAAGGTGATGCTCATAACACTGTGGTACTTATGGGGACTATCACACTCATTCAATCATTGTTTGTTGATGTAAAATTAAGGGAAACAATACCAGTTCTTTCTTCTGGAACCACAAAACGAACAGGTTTTCACAACACCAACGTTAGAGATGGATTCCACCATACGAAAACATGTAAAAATGAGAAAGGAGAAAGGATGGCCTTTAACAGTAGTCATGAAACATCAAGTTAGACACTAAGGAGAGTGTCCTGATGTTGACGGCTTTGAGCCACTGGAATAGAGAATATAAAGTTGTTCTTTCTTGCTTTGGAGATCCATTTACCTGAAGCTGTCCAGAGGCACGCATTACAAAGAAATGTGGGGCCAGGCATGGTGGCTCCCACTTGTAATCCCAGAGCTTAGGATGGCGGAAACAGGAAAATCACTTGAGGCCAGAAGTTCAAAAACAGCCTAGGCAACATACCAAGACCCCTGTCTCTACAAAAAAAAAAAAAACACATTAAAAATTAGCCAGCTGTGGTGGCACATGCCTGTAGGCCTAGCTACTCAGAAGGCTGAGGTGGGAGAATGGCTTCAGCCCAGGAGTTCACGGCTACAACGAGCTATGATCACATCACTGCATTCCAGCCTGGGTGACAGAGCAAGACCCTGTCTCCAAGAAAAAAAGAAAAAGAAAGCAATGCGACTGCTGAGAAGCTGGCCTTCTAATTCCTACTCCTCATGGATTCCCCCAGGGAGCCTAGAACAGTGGTCTTCTGAGCATATGACTTGTTAGTCTCATGATGTGTTGTATCACAGATCAAGGTAATTGGGGGCAAAGAGACCAGATTCACAGGTAAAACCCTGTATTCTAAAATATAACTACATATTGGCTGGGCATGCCGGCTCATGTCTGTAATCCCAGCACTTTGGGAGACCAAGGTGGGAGGATTGCTTGAGGCCAGGAGTTGAAGGCTGCAGTGAGCTGTGATCATGCCATTGCACTGCAGTCTGGGTGACAAAGAAAGACTCCATATCAAAAACAAACAAACAAACAAACAACAAAAAAACCCTACATATGGTCAGAATTTGACATAGAGTATCTTAGAGTGGGAAGGAGCTCAAGAAGTAATCTCATCTTATCCAGTCTCCCATATACAGGAAGAATGCCTTCCAATACATTCTAGACAGGTAGATGTTCACTTCTTATCAACACCCACCAACCACAGCTCTTGAACCAGCCTGCACAGCTTCAAAGAGAAGTGAATCACAGAGAGCTGGTGCAGGGAGGAAGCCTGAAGGCTGGGGTCAGTGTAGGGGGAAATTAGGGCGGACAAAAGAACTTGATATGCGATTTACTCAGCAGAGCCTTTTTATGCATGTCTACATGGACAATTGTGAATAAAGCCAAAGGCAGATGGAGTTTGAGAAATTCATATTAGCCCATTCCAATCATTTGCTGATCTCACTTTTAGTGACCCTGTGATAAACTGGATTATTTTTCAGTATATTTCTCAGCCCCATGGGTGTTGGGCTTGTCCATGTAACTTGTTTGGGCCAAAAGAATGTGGCCAGAGCTAACCGTGTAACAGTTCTGAGTCTACGCTTTCAGACATCTGGTGTGTTTCTGCTCCCTCCTGTGTTCTCCTGCCATTCATGCCATCCCCAGGTGGCCTCATTTTTAAAGAGGATGAGAGAAAATGGACTAGACCTGAACCCAGCCCACATCCTGGGACCAAGTTTAGCTAGCATGCCTCCTGAAGCAGAGATGCCCAAACCACCCCCACAAACACATGAGTGAGAAAATAATTGATGCTTATTATTGTAAGCCACGGAGCCTTGGGGCAATTTGTTATGTAGCGTTACTGTAGCAACAGCTGACTAGCACAGACTTGTCAGTGAATTGGACATCTGCTGTTTTTGTCCCTCATCTTCCATGCACTTTTCCTCTCTTCGCCACCCCTGGATGCCCTCTGGAAACCACCTCCTCTCAATCTCTCAGTCCCTTACTTTGGGTAGGGCTTCACCCCAGGCTCAGGGCCTTAGAACTAAGTTTATGGAGCACCACAGTCCCCTGACCAACACAGCTGGTTCAGGAGAGACCCAGGCACAAAGAAATTGTTGCCAGGGATGCTGGAAAAGGCACAGACTCTCCTAGTGGACTTGAATCCAGGAGGGTGTAAGATTGGAAGTTCTGCAACTATCTTACAACCAGACAGAAAGCGTCTACCTGGGAAGGGAGCCTGCCAAGAAGAAAGCAGAACCTAGATATAGAGAGAAAGAGAAAAACCAGGTGCCTATTTTAAGTTCCTATATGAAGCCATGTCTGAAGCTAACTCTGCCCGATGAATTTCACAGTTGTGTGACCTGAAGAAAAAAAAATTTACCTTAACTTAAGCCAGTTAGACTGGACTTTTAGTCACCTGAGGCTGAAAGATCCCCGACTTTCTTAAAATGCTTGCCTTTCAACTAACCAACCCATTAAGAAATCTTTCTGGGGCAACTATGGTACTCAGAGAACCAGGGTATACAGAGCCTGGCCCTTAAAATATAATAAAGGAAAAGCCTAACAACTATAAAAAGGCTTAACTAACAGTCCAGGAATCAATAACATATATTTGTTCTCACTTAGCAGCACTTGAGGGGATGGTCTGCCACCATGGTTTCTGATATGGTTTGGCTGTGTCCCCACCCAAATCTCATCTTGAATTGTAGTTCCCATAATCCCCATGGTCTTGGGAGGGACTCAATGAGAGGTAATTGAATCAAGGGAGTGATTACCTCCAGGCTGTTCTCATGATTGTGAGTGAGTTCTCACGAGATCTGATGGCTTTATAAGGGGCTTTCACCGCCTTTGCTCTGAGCTTCTTGTTGCTGCCATGTGAAGAAGGACATGCTTACTTCCCCTTCGGCCATGGTTGTAAACTTCTTGAATCCTCCCTGGCCCTGCAGAACTGTGAGTCAAATTAACCTCTTTTCTTTATAAATTACCCAGTCTTGGGTATTTCTTCATAGCAGCGTGAGAATGGACTAATACAACATCTTGGCCAAGAGGTGCCCCTCTTTTGATACCTAAAGCAGGACAAAAAGTGAAGGAAGAGGGTCTGAATTAGGTCTTTCTTGACAAGGCTCACTGGGAAAGACAGGTTGGGTTGCGGAGACCCAGGCAGCCATCAGAACTGTCTGGAGATATCCCCTCAAAGATCTCCATGAAGATGGGTTGACATCTTAGAACACTTGACACCTGCTGCAGTCACTCCCATATTCCCCAGTCCCCATACGTAGCCCTCCAAACCCAATACTGGCAAGTCTCTAAGGCCTCAAGGATTAGAATATCAAGGGAACCTGTTAATTATTTTGTCCTTTAAAAAATTATCTCCACCACAGATATTCCAGCATTCATGGAGGACAAGCCTTTTGGGGTAACTCGGGTCCATTTTCTCTGGGAAGAAGTACAACAACCAGCATCCTCTCCCTGTGACAACCCTCGAAACAGGGCCAAGGGCAAGTTCTTAAAAAGGGATTCAAACATGGCAGGGGAGGGTGGATAAAGAACGTTTCCCTACACTATATGGACTTCCGGGGGATGACTGGCTTGTCTTGAATGTAAAGGTTCCCTCTGCAGCAATATCCTCCCTGCTTCGTCTGCTTTTCTGCTCCAGTTCTAATCTGCTTTTGCAAACAGTCCAAGCATCACTTCCTCCGAGATGCTGTGGTGGGCTGTATTACGGGCCAAGATATTAGCCACCCCTCCCCGCTGGCCTGACCCTGTGGAAGGATTACACTTCCTGCTCCATTTACAGCAGACCTAATCACATGACTTGCTTGGCCAATGAAACCTGAGAGGAGTGACACACGCCACTTTGTAGCAGAAGCCATTGCTTGGCTCTGCCATTTCCATTTTCCCTCTGCCGAGAGACCATGGAGGAACTACACCTTTCCCCTCAGTTCCAGAATGAAGAGAGTTTAAGGCAGAACCTCAGGAGACCTCTGGTGGACAAGAATGTGAGAAAGATCAAAGTTTTATTGGTTTTTAGCCACTGAGATGTTAGAGTCGTTTGTTACTGCAGCACCCTGTAGCCCACGCTGACTGACAGACTAACCTGGGTGGATTTCAGCAGCTTCTTCCCTTACGTTCTCATTGCACCTCATGTGCAATCCAGTTATACCAATTATCTCATTGTGATATAATCATTTACTGTTTTCTCCCCCACATCAGAGTCCATGTCATCTCTGCTACCTTCCACCAGTGCTTTGCACAAGGCATGGAACACAGGAGGCCCTCAAAAACGGGAATGAATAAATGGCCAGAGAATCCTAAAGCTCTGCCCTGTCCTTTCCTCCCCAAGGAGTGTAGCCCTCTCCTGAGGCTCTTTGCACATAAAGCCCTGTCTTCAAGGTGACATTAGGTGACAAAATCAACTCAAGTCAAAAAACAAGTTGCTAACCTGTATGAAACAGCTATCCTAACACGAATTCTGAGACGACAGTGTGGCATGGAGGGTACTACCACATGGCTTTCTGAAGGATGTCCTGAAATTTCTAATGTTGCAGGCAACCAGATTCAACATCTCCATTAGGAGGGACCTGGGGAACTGAGCTATCTGCCCAGACTTCTCCTTAGAGGCGGATGGATCTTGTCTGCAAGGCAGTTTTGAAGCTTCCCCAGGTCATGCACCTACATAGCGTGTACTGCCTGAGCCTATCAGCACAGAGCTTAGAAGTCCAGCCCTGCAGCCTCTCTCCTGGTGAGACCTCAGCCCACGCGACTGCTGCCTGGAAGAGGGCCACAGGTCTGTCTCCCAACCCCAGGCTGGAGGAGGGATGAAGCGCCTCTCACACAGTCCCTCTGTCAGAGGAGTGAGCAGATACCCTCTAGCGCAGTGTGGAATCACCGCGGGGCACGCTGCGGCTGAGTAGTCTTGCTTTTCATAATATTTATTTTCTCACCCTACCTCTCTCTCTGTGTCCTGCCTTATCTTGGACCCTACGTCAGGAGCACTGCATCCCAGGGGAGGGAGCCCCAAGGCCAAGCCTTGCTGCCCAGTTACCAGGGACAGCGAGTGCGTCTTCTGGGTGCTAAGTGGAACCAAACCACAAGATTTACCCCGGGGGAGGTACACGTGCTGGGTGATCTACACGGAAAGGGTGGAAATGAGCTAGTGTTTGGGCTCCATCTTCTCCTGCACAATTCCTGTTTGTTTTTCCACTGCCCTGTTCCAAGAAGGGGTACAGGATGGGGTTGTGTGGACAGTGTGTCTGCAGCCCCACTACGGCCCTCCATGTCAGCACCCAGGTGAACAAGGGAGGCGCAGCTGTCAAGGCCCAGCAGAAGACATGGGCGCTTTCCATGCCTCCAGAACAACCAGGTGCAGGATGGAGACACAGGACTGAATGGCGGAGCGGAGAGGGGCATCGCAGGGCACAGAGGCTGGGCCGGGAGCGACCTGCCTCTGGGAAGCCGGGCAGGGTGGGGGAGGGGGCAGGTAAGTGTGTTGCCTGGCAACCCGGCAGACCCGCGGGTGGACAAGCTCAAGGGGCAGCCAGGTGCCACCCGCCCCCCACCCCCGCCCCACCCCCGAGCACACGCTGCGGAATTCTGCCAGCACGAAGCACAGTCACGAGCGCAGCCGGAGCAGTTGAGCGGGCAGGACACCGCCAGCGCCGGGAGAACACGCGCGCGTAGGTGGATGGCGGGAGGGTCCTCACAGCCAGCCTCACCCACCTCCCCCCGCCAACCTTCATCCCGTATCCTGGCTTCTCCTTGCCCTAAATCTAGGGGAACAAAAACCCGGGGCGTCTGGGACAGCCTCTGGAGAGACTAGGGAGGGGGCTTCCCCGGGCAGGGGGCATTGCGCAGCCCCGGGCGCCCGCCACTCCGGCCTAAGGCTGCCTCCTCCCCACCTTCCTTCTCGTCCCCCGCCCCCGCGCCCTTCTCTTCCCCCAGCTCCGGTTCCCTGGGCTCCAAGACTCCGCCCCCGCGCGGGAGCTCTCACAGCGGAGGCGGCGCGCAGCAGCGCGGGGGCAGTGAAGACGCCGGGCGGGGCTGGGCGGCACGGGGAGGGAGCGGGCGGGGCGGGGCCGAGCTGCTACGTAAGCCGCCGCGAGAGGGGATCCTGGGCGCAGGCCCCGCCCCCTCACGTGCCTAGGGCGCAGGGCCTCGTGCCGCCCGCGTGACTTGCGGGTCCGGCGGTGCCGCCGCCTGTGCCTCTGCCCGACTGCCACGCGTGGGAGGGAGGCCGTGGCGCTGGGGGCGACTGGCATGTGGCGGCTGCAGGAAAGTCTTCCTCAGTGGCCGCGTCCCTGTCCTAGGCCTTGGTACCCTGGCCGTTCTCCGCTCGGGACTTGGGGGTGGTGAGCGGGGGTGCGGGGGTGCAGAGCTCTGTGCCCGCCTGGATTTGAGAAAAGGAGGTCTCCCTTCCCTACCCCATCTGCCCCTGCACTCCACGCATGGGAGGAGGAGGCAGGGTAAGGGGGCTCTTCCCCAAGAGATGAGTTTGTTCAAATTTAAACCTAAGTTTGGGAAGGAGGTGCGGAAGAGTTTTTGAAATTGAGGGGTGGAGTCCCCACAGCGGTCCGTTCAGCCTCCATTACTATGCCTGTGACCTTTGGATCAGGAGCCCTGTTTTACTGCAACCTGGGCCCAGCCCAGCACCCAGCTGAGGGCATGAGCAAGAATCCAGCGTCCTTTATGGTTCCTTGGTGGGTGCCTTACTGATTCCCTCAGCCTCCCATTTCCCCTTCTAGAAATGGCAGGCAGAGCATTTGGAAAGAAGCAGTGAGGGGTGGAGACCACGAGACAGGCCAAGCACCAAAGTGGGTGTCCCCAGCAAGAGAATAGAAGGAAACCCATTATTTGTGCCTTTGCAATGTGTCCTTAAGTGACCCATTTGCTTGCAAGGTGTCAGGTGATGAGGTAGTCCACAAAGCCTGTTGCTGTCTGCAAACGTGTGTCTCTGCTAGTTGTTATTTCCAATAGCTGGCGAAATTGAAACCGCCTTTGCAGAAATTATAATAAAATTATTACAGTGAAGGGCATCTGACCTAACCAACTCTATCTTGCTTGTAACCTCCAAGCTGTCCTTTGTTCATTCCTGGGCGTAGGCTGAACTAACTTTGGGAGGAACTTACCGTTTCACTTTGTAACAAAGATAACAGTCCTTTCACAATACAGACCCCCCGGGTCTTGCCTAGGGACTAGACTGCCTTTGTAGTAATAACAAATTAGCCATAGGATTAGAAATTACCGTTTAGGAGTCATGTAGCTGGAGGTCACAAGATTCTAAGTCTCCCCAATTGTTCCTAGGGATAACATCACTATTAGAAAATCTGGGATTGGTGCTGAAGATATTTCAGACCCTGCAGTTGATGGATCAGCTGGCGTCACCCAGATTGATAAACTGGCTGTCTGGTCCTGTGGCCCTTACCAAGGAACCTGCTTAGCACAAGAGGACAACTTCGAGGCCCTGTGATTTTGTCTCTGACCAAACCAGTCAGCACTCCCCACTCCCTGGCCCTCTACCCATCAAATTATCCTTCAAAAACCCTAGTCTGGAATTTTCAGGGAGACTGATTTGAGTAATAATAAAACTCTGGTCTCCCGATCAGCCAGCTCTGTGTGACTTAAACTTTCTCTATTGCAATTCCCCCGTTGATAAATCTGTTCTATCTGGGAAATGGGTAAAATGAACCTATTGGGCAATTACAAAATGGGGGTGGGGGGCTGCCTGGGACAAGCACTCCAGAATAGAAGCCCCTGAAGTAAACCCTCTCCATGAAAAGCCATATATGGTGTGGCAGACAGCCTGGATTAGGGAGCTGGGGGAGCCACCCGCCAACCAAATACGGAGCACTGGGGGAGGGTCAAGGTGTGAGGCAGACTGGGGAGGACAAGGAATCCGATGGAATCTGACCCAGGCCATTCCCTGTCTCCCTGAGGGGAATCAGAGGGTTGGTGCTTTTACAGGGATCCTATTCCCAAGGCAAGGGTTTTTCCCCTTAGGATAGTTCTAAGGAAGGCAACACCTAAGTGTGTTCAGTGCTGGGATGGCCAGGAAGTGGAGTAATAGGAAGAGAGCTGGAGGCAGGAAGTGGGTCCCTTTGGCTTTGTGTCTGGATTTCAGTGTATCTGGACAAGTGCCTTTCTACCCTTGGCTTTCCAAACTCACTTATGAGGAATGAGAATAGTCAGTTTAATGGCTATTGAGTGCCTGACACTGTGGAGAGAACAAAGGGAGTGCCAGGTAATGTGCCTGACTGACAGAAATTTCTGTCTCGTGGGAGAAGGCCTATGTTCTGGAAATACTTAACAAAATGTCAGTGGGTCTGTGAGGTTAAGAGCCAACATGAGCAGTGTAGACAAGAGCTTTGATAGAAAGGAGAGAGTGATAGAGACCAAGGAGCTAAAGAAGGGGGAAGATCTGGATAAATGGAGAGGAGCTTTGGGTGCTGAGAACTGCATGAGCAAAGGCAGGAGGGAGTGTTTCTGGCCAGCCTGCTGGTCAGGAAGAACGCTGGTTTGGCTGGAACAAAGGGTGCAAGATCAGAGAAGGCCAAAGATCTGCTTGACGAATGAGTCTACTGAGGCCCAAAGCACAGGCTTCGAGGTTCCCATTCAGCCCCAATTGCCCAGAACTTTGTAAAGCTCAGTGCTGATCATGTGAAACCATCCTCAGAAACATGCAGTGGCTCTCCGTTGCCCAAATGCTATCATGGCACACGAGGCCCATGATGATTTATCCTAAACCTACCTGGTCAGCTTGATTCCTGTTCTACGCTTTCAGGCCCACCATATCCACAGAATTACCTCTGGGCCCTGAATGTGCCCTCTACTTTCCCTCTTCTTTGCCTTCAATTGCATGCTTTTTCCTTTCTTTGGAAAGTTCTCTCCTCCCTCACCATTTCTGCCCACTCATCCTTGAAAACACAGCTCAAGTGCCAGCTCATCCCCCAGCCAGATGTAATTTTCATCTGAGTTTCCACAACATCGTGTACTCTATCTTGGCACCTCACGTTCCACGTTGTGTTATGGATATGCAGAGACATCATCCTTCAAAGTAGATACTGCTAATTGGACCACTTCTCACCACCTCCATCACTGTCAGCCTGTTCCAAGCCGCCATCATCTCTTGTCTGGACTGCTGGGATGGCCTCCTGATCAGCCCCATTGTTTCCTTCTCACCCTCTTTAGTCACTTCTCTCCAGAGCAGCAGAGTGATCCTTTTAAAACATAGACCATGTCACTCTTCTGCTCAAAACCCTACAATGGTTTCTCATCACATTCAGATGTTATTCAAGACTTAGTATGAATGTCAAGACCTACGTTATCTGGCCCTGTCTACCTCTCAAACACCTACCACCCCCTGCTTTGCTCACTAAGCTCTGGTCACTCTGTCCTTCTTCCTATTTCCGCACTATTCCAAGCTTATTTCTTCCTCAGAGTCTATGCACTTGCTGGAGTGCATTTCTCTTAGAATTTACACGGCTCACTCCCTCACTTCATTCCTGTCTCGGGTCAAATATTTTCTCAGAGAAGCATTCCCTGACTACCTTATCTAGAATATGTCTTCTACCAGACACTCTCCACTCCCTTTTTCTTTAGAGCCATTACCACTGTCTGAACCATATTATGCTAATTTGGTTGCCTGTCACTACCATAAGAAGTTAAGCTTTGTGATGTCAGGAACTCCTGTCTTGTTCACTGATGTAGAACCTTCCTTGCACTTAGTAGGTACTCAGTTTTATAAAGGAATACATTCTTTGAGGGCAAGCACCATGTTTTTTACATTTGAGTCCCCTTCTCCAAGTCCTAGTTTCTTACACATAAGTCCACTCAAATGCTTGTCTGAATTTCAGATTCTTCAGCGAACACCCCCAGCTGCTTTTCCTCCATTAATGTGACTATACCTGTTTAAAAGACATCAGGAAATGGTCTTTACCTATCCTGTCACCTCCAGAGACGACTCAGTCTTCATCACATTGATCCCTGGCAAGTACCAGATCACAGCTTCTCCAGTTGTGGATCTCAAGCCATTAAGGTATTGTGACTTCATTTTTTGATGACATAAAACAAATGAGGAAACAGCAGAGTGCATTGCAGGTTTTAAGGGTAACTGTTACTTTTTTCCACTGTGGGTATCATCAGGTCATGATATAAAATGAACATCTGGCCAGGCGCGGTGGCTCACGCTTGTAATCCCAGCGCTTTTCGAGGCTGAGGCGGGTGGATCACCTGAGGTCAGGAGTTCAAGACCAGCCTGGCCAACGTGGCAAAACCCCATCTCTACTAAAAATACAAAAAGTAGCCAGGCATCGTGGCGAGTACCTGTAATCCCAGCTACTTGGGAGGCTGAGACAGGAGAACCACTTGAACCCGGGAGGCAGAGGTTGCAGTGAGCCAAGATCGCACCACTGCACTCCAGCCTGGGTGACGAGTGAAACTCCATCTCAAAAAAATAATAATAAAAATAAAAAATAAAATGAACATCTTATTCTTGGCCATTGTCTAAAAACTTTGAAAGTTCTAGATGTCCCATAGATAGTCATTTTATAGAATACAGACTAATACTCTTAATGTTAATATTTAAATAGCTAGCATTTATTGCAGGTTATTTTTTGTGCTGGGCACCTGTGGTACACTGTTTCACATACATTATCTCATACAGTCCTCATGACAGTTCCAAGAGGAGGGTCTTATTATAATTCTTATTATTTTCATTTAACAGAGGAGGAAACTGAGGCTTAGAGAAATTAAGTAATTTGCCCATGATCACAAAGCTGATAAACAACTAAGCGGAAGGCCCACTTTCTTTACCTGCTAGTCAGCAATCTCTCCAGCAGCATCTACTCTTCAATTTCATGTTCTGAACTGGAAAAGCCCCCCCAGCCTTGTTTTATGTCAATAAACACTACTTACCCAGCATTCTGATGGGAGTGTTTTGTTTGTTTGTTTTTGGTTTCGGTTGCCAGTAGGCACCACTGAGGCAAGTGGCTGTCATGCTGTTAAGAGTTCCACAGACCTAGAGGGTTTGGGAATCACTGGTCTCGATGTATTCACGCTAGTCCAGAACTTGCAGAGGCCTGGAACTGCAGCTGCTCAGGGGCCACCTGACAGGAGCTGTGGTTTTCACAGAAGGACACAGCCATAGACAGCCCATCGCTTGGCAGGGAGGAAGGTGGGGAATAAATAAGCCGCCATGCCTTCCTCCCATCTTTGGATTTCCCTCTCAGGGCCCCCATTGGCTGAACCAGGGATCAGGAGAGTCTTAATGCAGTCCCTAGAGGTCAACCTCTCAGAACAGAGTGGAGTGAGTGCAGAGTGGATCTGGAGGGTAAATGCACAGCCCCCTGCTTACCATCCTCAGCACCAGTGCAGATTAACACCAATTCCCAAGGCCTTTGAATGCCAAGCCTTGGCTGCCGCAGTACCTCACAGCTCACGACAACTCTCACCTCTCCCTTGAGGACAGCATCTGAACGGGCCATGTGGGGCATTGTGCAGGCTTGGGCCACACTGCAAGCCCCTCCTTTGGCCCTGTCTTTAGTCACTGGGCTGCCAAGTGAGGAAAACCAGGCCAGAAAAAGAACCAGCCCCCCTCATCCACCTAGGCATTTGCAGCTCTGCCAGCACTTGGGCATCTTGTCCGTGATCTAATCATGGATGAGGTCAGGGGGGTTTTATACAGTCTAGGGATTTGACTGTGAATGGCAGAAATTGCTTCCTGCCAGGATTTTGCATGCTTCCAAGCTGAAACCTCCTGGAGCAAGGAAGCAGGGCAGTGTGTGTGTGTGTGTGTGTGTGTGTGTGTGTGTGTGTGTGTGTGTGTCAGGGGAGGGGGCAGAATGAAGGCATGTTCTGAAGGCATGTTCCTGCTCTTCATACTTACCCAGCCTTTACAGGCGAATGTGTGACTGCAGTTGTGGCTAAAATATGAATGAATGTGGTGGTGTGCAGGTGCATGAATGACTGTAAGTTTCTGTGAATGAATGTATTTGTGATGAAGAGTGCATGGGAGCCCTTGCAAGCTGGGGTAGTGGTTTGCAGGTGCCTGGCTGGCTGACTGGAAGCATCTACTGATCAGTATCTTTACCAAAGTCTATGAGTGTTGGGTTGAGGGGGGAGGAGGGGAATACTCTGTTTCCTCACAGCACCTCCCTTTTGCTGCTGCCACTGCTGCGTAGCAGCATGAACCATTGGCAATTGCCTTGTCCTCCCTGAAGCCCCAGAGAAGAAAGTCGGGGGAAAGACAAGCGAAAACATGTGGTCAGTCTGTCGTCAGTTGAAGGCTCCTCCAGGAACCAGGAATTGTCCTTAGATAAACTCTAGTCACAGAGCCTCCTGACTAGCCTGTGGAGCTGAACAAGGGGCAGATGAGTGGTAGCTCAGGTTAGATTTTCTCTGACCTCTACTCCCCTGACCTACTAGCCTGGTCAGGCAGAATTATTCATAGTCTGTGCTTATCTGAAATGTTGAGATTAATAAGACCATCTTCTCTTCTGTCTCCCAACCAGATTTGAGGGAATGAAAGGAGGCGCCGCATTCTTTTAGGAAGTGGTGATAAGCAAAAATGATTGGGTAGTTACCAGTTGAAAACCTGATTTCATGAGCATATCAAAAAAAAAAAAATTAAGGGCCACTTAATTTGAAATCGTATGATTTAAATCCATTTTGGGCTCCTCTTCTCCCCCACTGAAGGTCCCCCATAGCTTTTGCCATCCAAGTGGCCTCTGTGAGGGCCCCTATACCCGATGGCCCCAATTAGTCTGCTCATTAACAGTCTCAGCAGAGACCAAAGACTGAATAGGTCAGAGAAACCAAATTCTTCTATCATCCTGAGGCCCAAGTGAACCTATCTGAGGAGGGCAAGTGAGGGAGGGAGAGCTGAGAAGCAAGAAATGTGGGAAATGAAGACTTTGCAAAACTATTGTAAACTGCCTCCTCTGAAAATAGAAAACTCCAACATTCCCCAACCACTCCCTCTCCAACAAATACTTTGAAAGTGGCAAATCTCACCCACTTTGCTTCCGTGGGGAGGCACTCTGTATTCACATATATAATCCATAGGTATTTATAAAAATGTATAATTGTGAAATGGACCAGTGAAAACTGTATTGTTAGCTAAGTGAAGAGGGCAGTTGCCCCCCCATAAAAGGCAGATGTTTAAATAAATGCAGATTTTAATAATACAATATCATTATCAGATTTCATACTTAGGTCCCCCAGATGAAACCTAAGCCTGTTTTGGTGGGCTGCTGTGCCTTTCCTGCCAAGCAGCTACAAGAAGGAAGGAACATCCCAGAACCCTTGCTTATGAATGCCCTGTCTCCGCTGAGTTTGAATGTACCAGTGCTTCATGTTTGTATGAATGGGGGTTGCATGTGCTGGTCAGAAGCCATGTGAGACACATGGGGGGTGGGGGAATTATGGCTTTAAAAAATGAATTGGAAAAAATGAAACGGAATGTGTGAATGGCATAAATGGAGCCCACGGCACCTTCTCTTTTTTATTACCGACCACCACAATAGGGCCCACCTGTTTCATTAAAATTAATTCCTGGCTTTGCAAATATCAATAGATCAATATCTGTACTTGTGTTCCACCCTTCACTGGGACCGGACTGCTAAAAACAGAGAGCTGCAACACAAAAGATACCGCAGTCAGCTCAAGCAGGGGGTTATTTTTAGATCAGAAAAAAGAAGGGAAAGAAAAAAAAAACACAGAGGCAGTTCTGGGTTTTGCAATCTAATTTGGTCCCTTTTCTTAAGGAAAAAAAAAAAAATCCCATCAATGGCATTTTCCATACAATCTGATTTCTATTTGGCTCCTAGAAAAAGAAGAAGAGATCTAGGGCTGAAAATTCTGGAGTTTTATGGCTGATTCCAGCTAGTATCCTTTCTTCACCAGGCTCCAACTGAATTAATTTGATACTATTTTTGAAAGTCAGTGTTTCTAAGGGAGACCTAATGACGCACTGACGTCAATGCAGGTCAATAGCACACACTGCTGGAACTGGGCGTGCTACACTGAGCCAGGGCTGGAGCCTTTTCAAACAGCCCCAACTCTGCAAATATCCCAGCTTTGCAGGGGGAAAAAAGCCAGGGTTTTGTAAGCATTGAGACCCCCACCATTTTTCCCGAACACCTTCAAATTTGATGCATGCTTTTTAGATGCAAAAAAAGAAAGAAGAAAATCCAAACAGATATAATCAGACGCACTGCAGTGCAAAAAAAAAAAAAAAAAAAAAAAAAAAAAAAAAAAAAAAGAAACCGTAAGAAATCCGCACACACACACACATCAACCACAATCACCCTTTTATTCAGGAACATCCCATGAACTCCTTTGCTTATGAATGCCCTGTTCCGCTGAGTTTGAAATGTACCAGCCATGTTTGTATGCTGAATGGGGGTTGCATGTGCTGGCTGTGAAGCCATGTGAGACACATGGGGTGGGGGAATTATGGCTTTTAAAAATGAATTGAAAAAATGAAACGGAATGTGTGAATGGCATAAAATGGATTCACCTATCTTCTTTTTTATTAATACCACCACAATAGGCCCACCTGTTTCATTAAAATTAATTCCTGGCTTTGCAAATATCAATAGATCAATATCTGTACTTGTGTTCCACCCTTCACTGGGACCGGACTGCTAAAAACAGAGAGCTGCAACACAAAAGATACCGCAGTCAGCTCAAGCAGGGGTTATTTTTAGATCAGAAAAAGAAGGAAAGAAAAAAAAAACACAGAGGCAGTTCTGGGTTTTGCAATCTAATTTGGTCCTTTTTCTTAAGGAAAAAAAAAACTGCATCAATGCAGGCTTCTTCTATACAATCTGATTTCTATTTGGCTCCTAGAAAAAGAAGAAGAGATCTAGGGCTGAAAATTCTGGAGTTTTATGGCTGATTCCAGCTAGTATCCTTTCTTCACCAGGCTCCAACTGAAATTGACCAGACATCATTTCATAAAGTCCGCCTAAGGTGATGAGACCTAATGACGCATTGACGCTAATGGCCAATAGCACACACTGCTGGAACTAAGCGCACTGAGCCAGGGCTGGAGCCTTTTCAAACAGCTCCCAACTCTGCAAAATATCCCAGCTGGTGGGGAAAAGCTAGGTTGAAGGCATTGAGAACCACTTCCACTGACGCGCCTGATAAAAATTAAATCGGCAAGATATAATCACTTATCGCAAAAGAAATACCAAGATAATCAGACAATCTGAATGACAATAAATAATGTTTATTAGATCCAGTTTAAACAACTTATGAATGTGTTCGTCACTTAATGGGATGAGTTTTTGTTTTGATTACGCTGATCCAGAATCAGAACAATAGCATGGAATGCATGATGGCTGCCTTCCTTCTCCTCCTAGTCCCTCCTCCTCCTCTTTTTTCCTTCTCTCTCCTCACCTTCCTCTCTTCTATCTCCTCCTCAGCCTCCTCTTCTTCCTTCCATAGAAACCCTCATGAATCATCTTCTTCCTTCCTCCTTCCTTTCTTCTCCCTCCACTTCCCTCCTCCTCCACCCTTCTTCTCTTCCCCCCCCGCTCATGCCCCCACCACAGAACCGCCTGCTTCCTTCCTACAAGAGGAGAAAAAAAAAAAAAAAAAAAAAAAAAAAAAAAAAAAAAATCATACCTGTCAAAGGAACCGTATGTAATCCGCACACACACACACATTTCACATTTACGTTCAGAATGCAATACATATCATTAGGGTCTGTCTATAAATAGACCCGAGCGCGTGTGCATCGGGACTTAGTCCCAAACGGGGTTTTTAAACGTGGGAGATGAGTTCTTTGCTCTGATCAGTTACTCAGAAGGTGCCTGAATGTGTGGGGGTGGGAGCGTGGGAGGGGGCTGCCTCCTCTTTCTCCTCCTTCCTTTTGGCTCTCCCCCTCCTTTCTTCTCCCTCCCTCCCTCTCCCCTCACCTCCCCTCTCCTCTCCCTCTATTCCTCTCTCATTTCCTCTTTCTTTCTCTTCTTCTCCCTCTCTCCTTCAGCATCCCCCGACCCTCTTTTTCTCTCTCCCCCTCCCTCTCTTTCTTCCCTCTCACCCCCTCCCTCTCTCCCCCACCCTCTCTCTTCTCTCTCTCCCTCCAAGTCTGGCACTGAACGAGAACTGTTTTGCTTTGCTCCGGGAAGAGTGCAGACACATAACGTGAAATCCCGAGCTTTTTGCGTGGTGCATTTAAAATGCTTCCTTATTTATATTACCCTCATTCCCTCACCACCCCCCACCCCCTCACCAGTCCTTCCAAATTTCCCTAGAAATCTATGTAAAGCATGCGGAGGGGAAAACATTTGCACAAAAAGTGAAGGAGCTCGCCAAGGTAGGTTATACCATGCACTGTCTTGTGTTTGGCTTTTGCAAAGTTTATGATGTCAGTTGGTGAATGTTTGGAGGAGTAGATTTGTATGACTGACCATGATTACTGTCTTTTGCATTGAACAATTATCTTTGTACAAATTGCCTAGACTTCTTGGGCAGGCTTTCCTGGGGTCTTGTGTGTGTGGTTTTTGCAGGAGGCAAGCCAGCTGGAAGACAGTCCTCTGTTGTTAAGCTGGGGAGGGGGTGCCGTCTTGGCTTCCCCCACCCTAGTGTTCTGTGGTTTGGGGGTGGAGGGTGGAGGGTGGAGGGGTATTCTGTAGCGGGCATGTGCTTCTGCCACTTGGCCGTATGTTGGATTGATTCTCATTCACTGAGTGTCTTAATTCTTGTAATTATTTTGCACATGAAAATTTAGTTCCAAAAAGGCTTCATGAAGTCAGAGCAAAGTGGGGAGAGTCGGGGAGATAAAGAATCAGGGTATGGTGGTGGTGATGGGAGTGGTAACATGTCTTGCATAGAGAACTTAATCTTCTCCCCACTATTTGGAGAAAATGCTAAGTCTTTAGTGGGTGTAAGTAAAATAATTTTTGTTTAAAACCTTATTTGTGGGTAAAATGAAATTTAAAATAAATGTTTCCATTGCAAGAGCAAAAACTGCTACAGCTCACAACCACCTGTAGAGGGAAATCTTTATGCATGATATCTTAAGGGCTGGTTGTATAGAGGAAAACCGCCTGAAAAGGCTCCTGACAAAGTTTGCAGCAGGAAAAACAAGAGAGGCTGGGCCCTGCAGGGTGAAGAGTTAAAGCTGGGGGCGGCAGAGAAGGAGGGAACGGCTGGAGCTCAGCCAGGGTCTGTCGGTCTGGGGACCTACAGGGTTGGCCTTCCTGCTTTGAGGGGCTGGTGTTGTAACAGAGGCAGCCTGAGGTGGAGAAGCTAAGTGGGGCGGGGGCTTGCAGAATATTTGTGTGTCATGGGAGGAGGGGCGTTCTGTGAGGTCAGGGATTGTGTGGTGCCTGGGGCCATGTGACGACAGGGAGGTCACAAGCTGGTTTCTCCGTTGGGTTCTGGTCCTCCCAGCTCCTCCCTGCTGCTGCACAAAGCGAGGTGGTTATCAACAAGTGTTTCTCCTGAGAAGATTAGTTTTGACAGGGACTTCAAGGGGTTTTTTAATCTGGGTAAATCCACCAGGGCTTTATTGTGTGTAGCAAAGAGAATCATTCTTTGTTAGGAAGGAGCTTGGGGAAGAGAGGTGGAGGGATGGAGAGAGGGGGCTTTTGAACATCAGCCATTAGACCTTGGGGGCCAGAGTTCAAATCCCCCAGAGGGCTGAAAAGGTTGAAAAGGTATCGTTATCCCTTCTCCCACCCCTGCATCTTTCACCCTGAGCTTTACGTTTAATGGGGAAAATCCAGTGCCTGGTGTTGGCCAAACCTCATCAATGGGAATTCCATGTGTCTGAGAGCAGGATTTTTTTTCATGGAGGGAAGCAGGCAGCACTCTCAGCTGTAGTACTGTAAATTTTTTCCCCCTGCAAATGATCTTCTAGGAAAGCTGAATCACCTCCACTCTGAAAAGCAGCCACTTCTGGGAGGTGGAACACAGGGGGAGGAGGGAATACCCCCTCCTCCATGGTCCTTAAATATCCATGTGGGGGCACTACTTGAATGTCTGGTTCAGATGAACCCGGAAATATGACGAGGGTTCTTTGGACTGGGCTGGTAGTTAAGAAGACCACCTGAGCGGGAATGTAATTCTGAAGGAGTAAGGTAGTGGCTTTTTCTTTTGTGCTGGGGGTGCGGGGGTGGAGAGGTGCAGCTGGCTGGGTCATCAAATTAACATGAGAAGGGAATCCTTTCCAGCAGGGAAGTAGGAGATTTGGGGAGGGTGCTTGGAAGATAGAATCAGCATGCCATTGCCACCCCCGACCCCAAATAACCAAAAGGCAAGGAGTAGGCATAGAAATGGGAATGCAATGTGGGTATAGACTGTGATTAAGCCTACTGTTGCTATGAAGTGCTGTCTCACTAAATAAAGCAGAGAGGATAGTGGCTCATTCCCTGGATCTGCTGGTGTGAAGTAAAACCAGGCCAGCTGACCTGACACCCACTGTCCACATCACGGAAGGTCCTGCTCCAAGAAGGGGGATGGAGAGTCTTCCACAGCCCAAAAAGCATCAGGTTTCTTTGTGTTGCACTTCTCAGAAGGAAATTGTTTCTGTTTTTTGCTTAAGTCAACAAGTGTTTGTCTCTCTTTGGTGTAAAGGTTGTGGGGGAAGTGGTTACAAGAAAAAAAAAATCTGGTCCTGGAATTATAGCCATCTGCTCTCCATAGTCCTCCAAGACCGTCAGTATCTCTCTTTACTCTGAGCTGTGGTTTTCTGGGGACCAAGTTCCAGAAGGATAGCACCTAAAAAGTATTTCATGTCCATCAGCCTTCCCCCCGGAGATCCATGGAAAGACCGCCTCCCTCAGGTTCTAGCAGGTGCCCAGGCACGTGTCACATGCAGACATGTATGTGCAGTGTACATGCACACATACTTGCAAAGACCACAACAATATGTATGTGAGTACCCAGGGTTCTCTCCACATGGGAGCCCATGAGAGCCTATGTCGGCTCATGAGCCACAAACACAAGGAAACAGACCTTCTTCCTGTCTGTCAAGTCTGAAGATGCCAGTTGAGACATGCCTCATCCAGTTTAGGGGTGGACCTGATGTCCCTGAGTGTATGTGGTGAACCTGAATTTGCCTTGGGTTTCCTCATATTCATTCAGGAGTGTCAGTTGCCCCTTCACGCGACGTTGGAGAGCGTTTCGGCAAGCAGGTGTCTACTCATTTATGGCAAGAATGAAGTCCAACTTTTATCTTCATCACCTTGGATGAGCCCTGGCGCTTGCCCTGTTTCTCAAAAGAAACCTAGGGGCAGGGGCAGAGCCGGTTATAAAATTCATGGGGCCTGGCACAAAATGAACATGTAGGGCCCCTTGTCAAAAGCAGGAAGAAAGTGCCTAAATATAATGCCTTTGTCTTTCTTCCACAATCTATCTCTAGAATCATCATGGTGGTTTTTTATTTGCTCTTTTTTATGTGGTGCTAAATAAAAATAAAAATTTTAAGTTTTTAGCATGAATTTTACTATTCATCACATATGAATAATACATTCATATTATGTGATGCCAGTTGTAAATGTAAACACAAGAGCATTTAACTCATTTGTAGAATCATCAAAATTACACAATTCACATTTCATAGGTCGTATATGCATAGGTATTTCATTCGTACCAAAACAGTGGAGATGCTGACAAAATGTACTCCACTGTTTTTATTTCACTTCTTGATACAAGCGCTTTGTACCAGCACTCTCCACCTTCAGCTTGCTGTTGAGAAATAGGTATGGATTGCTGTATCTTCACCTTTCCTTCTGCGTCATCATTTTCAGCATGGGTGTTTGGCAAATACAGGGAAGGAACATAAGTAAGAAATGCTACTCTAGGGTCCCTTAGTCATTAGTGTTTCTTAGAACTCCATTGCCTTCCTTCTGCATTTGAAGCAGCTGGTTCAAACAGAAAGCATGACCTCTGGGCACTGTCCGTGTCCCCATCTGCGTAGTCATAGGCTTACTTTCCATTCTACTTACCCTGAGTCTCGCTGAGCTCCCACTGGAATTCTGTACTCCTGGGCTACTGCCAGCATTGTGGGGGCAGGAACGATGGATGGGCACACACATTCTCTATTATCCCATAGACTTCACTTACAAAACACAGGTTCAAAGACATAATTTTCAAGAATTTCAAGCAATAACAGTAGAATCTTAAACCAAGCATGGAGCCCTTCTGAGCCTAGGGCCCTGCAGCTACATAAGTTGCACCTTCCTGAAGTTAATCCAGGTGGGAGGAAGTAAGAAGTAACCTAGACCTCAGGCTGAGAGCCCTATTACTCATCTTCCTTCATCAAGCGAATAATTGTATCTGCAGCAAAAAAACAAACAAACAAACAAAAAAAACTTCAACAACCTCCATTTTTGACCCATTGGGACTTTCTTCTCCTCTAACCAAGTCCCACTGTGTGAAAATTCACCACTTCCTGGTGACGCTGTCACACCTTTGAGGGGAGAATTCATCTGCTGATCTCTTCATCGAAGCCTTGGCTTAGCGCCCAAGCCTTGCAGATGAAGTATTGGTTCCAATCTGCACCCATCACTTTCAAGCTTGGTTCCATCCAGCAGATACCCTGACTAATCTGTACTTAGGTTTCACCACCTAAAAGTAATAAAATATACTTGTCTTGATTCATGAATAATTGTGCTAATTATTTAGTGCTTCTTCTTGTTTATCTCAAAACTGCTCTGAGGTCTGCCCAGGGGTCTCCTGGTCCAGGATGACAAGTTCTCAGATATTACTTTGACAATAAATTCAATTGATGTTGTTGTGGAAGAAGCAGGGCTTGGTGCTTAAAGGGTCAAGGGGAAGATGGGCCTACATTCCTGATGGACCCAATAAAAAGAGTATTTTTCCTTCCTTCATCAACTGCCTTTTGCTCCTCACCTACTAGGGAGCAAAGCTAGAGGGCATCTTAGAGATGTGAGGTGGACTAGTTTGTAAATAAAATAGCATTAAAAACACATCCAACCTAGAGAATGAAGACTATTGACCTTCCATCGTTGGTTCAGGGACTTTGAGAGTTTTTGAGAGCTTTGTTTTTCAGACTTAATACAGCTTTCCTTTCTAGCCTGGTCCTTCAGGTGACACCAACACCCTTTTGAGAAATATTTAGCTTGGTCTAGGCTACTGAGAGTACCTAGGAAAAAAAAAAAAAAAGAATTATTATTCTTGTTTATTATTTTATAAAACCTTTACTAGACTTGGAGTTGCTGCAGCGACAGTCCAGTTAGTGGACTGGAAGACTAATCAATGAATAATTATTGACTGTTTACAAATGAGCCTAGCACGGTGTTTGACCCATGGTGGGTGTTTAATAAATGTTAGCTGACTCAGAGTGTG